TGAAATTTCTGTCCGTAACTCCCAATTTTACTCATTTTGTTCTCCGCGTCCACTTGCTCATTATGATTCAACAATGATATATAGTACTGTACCAATTTTGATGAAGTCAAGAGAACCACTGTAGAACGGCCAAGGTGATGTAGCAATGTAATAAAAAATGAAGCACAACATACTGAACAGCATCAGCTTGCGTTTATCTCTGAAAGAAACAATTTTAACGATCAAAGACGAAATTGCTGATCGTTAGCAAGATTTGCTTTCAGAGAGTTATCGGCAAAATTTCACTGGATTAACCAAAATGAATAATCCCAAAATAAAGAGGATGATGAAGAAGAACAATGAATCGAAACCAAAAAGGCTTTGTTTAGTTGAAATCATGTGCGAACTCAACGAAAGAGAACCAAAATCACAATCAACAAATCCCTTCATGTGAAAAAGTTAACAGCGAATCAATAGGTTGAAGGAAACGAGGTATAATTCAAACGTACACTCGGCGTACAGGTGTATAGCAAAGGATGAGATAATTTATAACGTCAATGCTACATCCAATTATGTGAATAATACCATTATACAGAACTGCAGTTCTATCGTTCCAATTGTAAAGAACCATCGTCAGTGGAGTCATTGTTCTGCAAGATTCAAGCCAATCATTCATCAAGTTTAATGTTTTGTACAGATTGCAAACAAGCAGACTATGATGATCAGAATTAGGCCAATGCAACAACTATCATGCTTGATCACTTGAGGACATCCATCATTTTCTTAGTGGAAATAAGCAATTATCTAGATAATTGTTCACTCTCACAAAACTGATTCATATGAACTGCAGCGATGGTTCGTTGCGGAGTGGCCAGAGAAAGGCATCGGATAATGTGAAAAGACGCAAAAACAAACACTTCAACACTGGTAGCGATTGTTTGAAACATGAACCATAGATAGATGCAGGAGAATGCGGCCACTCGATCGCATTTTGGAACCACAATAAAAGAATCTGAAATGAAGTTTCGTATGAATGCTCGACGACATCCCGAACAGCTCATGTGCAATGCGTTGGGTCATGGCTATCCTTTAGAAACTAGATAAATGCTACAATCGTTGGCCAGTTGGTCATTTGGCTTCAAAAAATGATAGCTTATGAAAGTCGATCGTTGGCTACCATTCTAACTCGATTTCTCACATTGAGGCACTTCGGCAATCCAAACGAATCATTCATATTTAAGCGAACCTTTCTTGTCTTCTTCGGAAATCGTACCAGCATAGTTTTCAGTGAAGAAAACACCAAGAAGGAATATTGAGACCAACGATACAGGCACCATGATCATGGGTGGTAATGTGTACATATTGATCAGAACTGTCCCTAAGACAAATCCTTCTTCGCCAATCGGCGTGAAAATTGCCTGAAATACCGCACATGTCCAGAGATTCTCCCTTGCATCTAAGCATTCAAATGACCTTAGGGAAAGTAATCAAGTGCATGGAAATGTACTCATGTGACTGGATTAGGTATACAGGTCTCTGTTTAGGTGTGTACTAAAGCTTAGAACTGATGGATTTTCTTTTCGGCAGTCAATGACCAAACGTTCCGTTTGCAAGCCACTCAAACTCACTTGTCCCTGACTACAGATTGATGAGTCGATTTTGTTGACTTCAAAATTCGGTGATCACCGATAAGGTGGCAAACAATTGCCAACGTCGGAACATGATGCTGTCATGAGGTCACCAACGGAGTGCAACTTGGTCGCTACTGACCGCCGTACCATTCGCTGGTTACCGTTGCAGCCCTATTATCTTCTTTTTCAATGTTCAATTGGTCAGATCAAATAGAAATGGACTGAATACTCCAATGCCTAATTTGAGAATTCATGTTCTCCAGCTGATTTGGCTGATGATCCTGCACTGAATTGGGAAAGACAGACCTGAACTGCAGGCCCAAGTGATATTCCAAGCACGAACGAGCCATTCGACAATGCCATTACCTTCGCTCGATCCTTTTGCACGCTGGCCATTGAACA